GCGAATGCTAGCAGATCATTTCTTTGGCACTCGTTTCTTTCAGGTTCTCTTCCAACTGTTTTGCTTCAGAAAATTTATTTGCTTCAGAAATTTATTTCAAAGGAAGAGAGAATTGCTGAGAAATACTCCTGGGTGGAGCATATAGTTTCTATACTTTGTAGCAAAATGACTAATTGGTCTATGGGATCACGAAGTGTGGGACACGACTTAGAGACTGAACAATAACAACAACAAGAAGATGACTAAAATGTCTGTGTGAATTTCCTGTCTTTCTTTGTAAATAAACTCTCAAATGGATATCATATGAGGGAAGCCTCGCATTGGGTCCTTTTTAAATTGGGGCATTCAGAGAACCAGGGAACCTTTACAATAATGTTAATTTATGCTGCACAAAACAGTAATGATAACATTACAGATTATGGCCTTCAAAGTTACTACTACCTATACTAAGGTAAAGGTAAAGGTTCTCCCGCACATGCGTGCTAGTTGTTTCCGGCTCTAGGGGTGGTGCTCATCTCCGTTTCTAAGTTGAGGAGCCAATGCTGTCTCGGCTCCTCTAGACTTCTCTGTGGTCATGTGGCCAGCATGACTAAATGCTGAAGGCGCACAGAACATTGTTACCTTCCCATCAAAGGTGGTCCCTATTTTTCTACTTGCATTTTTTACTTGCTTTCAAACTGCTAGGTTGGTAGAAGCTGGGACAAGTAATGGGAGCTCACTCTGTTACAGTGCTAAGGATTCGAACCGCTGAATTGCCAACCTTCTGATCGACAAGCTCAGCGTCTTAGCCATTGAGCCATCTTTACTTCTTATTCTATTTCTGTTCAAATGCCTTACCTTCTTTCTATTCAGCTGCTCTCATGAGAGTTAAGGCCTGGCATTAATATAAGTAAAAACAAGCAGTAGCTACCGATCAAGCTTTTTGTTCACCAAGAAACAGAAGTATATGGCGATAAACCTATCATGGTGATAAACCTTAGGAACCTAAGAAAATTTTCTGCTGACTTCCAGTTCCATAGATGCCTAGCATTTAATTTAAAGACTGTATTGGTTGTGTCTGAAGTCAGTTGGTGCTTGACTTTGCGAGAGTTGATATTTTGTGCAGAGACAACTATTGAAAAATGAACAGGTCTGAGATAATGTGATTGTGTGGTGTTGTTGGAAATGTAAAGAATAAATGTGAGCGCAGGTGCCACATATTTAAAACCAACCTTTAGTCAAAACTTCTTGTGCTCACCAATGTCCTTGGGTTACAAATAGATTTTTCAAAATGATTTCAACCCTTTATTTCTTAACCTCACGGTGGATTCTCTCCACAATGTCTCATTCAGGGTCACCTTCTTTGATCTTTATAGCCAAACACGATTAACCGGTGGCAGATTATATAACAGATATGACTCTGTCTACATTTAAACTATCATTGTCATTCAAATATCCCAAAGCAGTGAATGTCTTTTTCTACTAAGTGAGGTGCTGGGCACATTTGCCAAAAGGCTCTGATACCAGTAGGGCCACTTGCTGTCACTTCTTTTAAAAATCAAGCTCTAACACGGATTTTAGTATCAGATTTTCAAAACCAACCATAGGCAAGCAGGGAAGATTTTGCTTCCCTGGATAAATAATGCAAAATGTAATGTTTTGAAAGGAGAGTTGATATGCATGCATAATCTCCAATTACAGCTGGCAGCAAATTGTAATGCAGATAGTTCAATTGGGCTATTTTAAGAGAAGTGAAAAGCGAGGCTCTCACTTCCCTTGTTAAGGAAGCATCTCACTGTCTCTCTCCTATCACCTTCTGATTGAAAGAGCAAGTAATGACAGTGCCTCATCTTCTGCTGACCTTTCTTTGGGATTTTCACAATGGTCCTCATTAAGGAAGATTTGGCAATTCATGAGTTGTAGCACCCCGCGTTATGTTTTTAAAAGATGCATCCCAAAGACCCAGAGATGGGGATGACTGCTGAGCAGCTGGTGACCTCTGAGGGAACCAAATACCTCCTGCTCTCCGATGATTTTCCCAGATCAGGAGCTGAGGGCAAAACATGCAGAGAGGAAGGGCAGCAAATGCTGTCATTTCGTTTTGCCTTGTTTATTTGGATCAGCAGGAATGTTCGGATATAAGCATAAATATATTGGATGCAGAGGTGGTATTCAGCCAGTTCGTACCGGTTCTGGTGAACTGGTAGCAGAGATCACAGGATGCTCACCCACCCACCCTGGCGCTCAACTGTCCTATTTAGCCATGTTTTTGAGGCCAGGAAGGC